TGTTTCTGGGGCCAGGCGAGCAGGCCTGGCCCCCTAGTGTCTGGAGAGGGAGAGCAACTGCAGCACAACCTCTCTGGTGCAGAGTGTAAGCTCCTCTGGTACAGAGACTGATGGGACTGGCTCAGTGTTCTCTATACAGCGCTGCGGTATATGTCAGAGCTATATACATGTATAATAATAGTTTATGAACATTGATGAGATGGGAGATAGAGAGATACAAAGTAACATTGTTTATAAACATCGATCAGACGGGAGATAGAAAGATACAAAGTAACATTGTTTATAAACATCAATCAGACGGGAGATGGAGAGATACAAAGTAACATTGTTTATGAACATTGATGAGATGGGAGATAGAGAGATACAAAGTAACATTGTTTATAAACATCGATCAGACGGGAGATAGAGAGATACAAAGTAACATTGTTTATAAACATCGATCAGACGGGAGATAGAGAGATACAAAGTAACATTGTTTATAAACATCGATCAGACGGGAGATAGAGAGATACAAAGTAACATTGTTTATAAACATTGATCAGACGGGAGATGGAGAGATACAAAGTAACATTGTTTTATAAACATCGATCAGATGGGAGATAGAGAGATACAAAGTAACATTGTTTATAAACATCGATCAGACGGGAGATGGAGAGATACAAAGTAACATTGTTTATAAACATCGATCAGACGGGAGATAGAGATACAAAGTAACATTGTTTATAAACATCGATCAGACGGGAGATAGAGATACAAAGTAACATTGTTTATAAACATCGATCAGACGGGAGATAGAGAGATACAAAGTAACATTGTTTATAAACATCGATCAGACGGGAGATAGAGATACAAAGTAACATTGTTTATAAACATCGATCAGACGGGAGATAGAGATACAAAGTAACATTGTTTATAAACATCGATCAGACGGGAGATAGAGATACAAAGTAACATTGTTTATAAACATCGATCAGACGGGAGATAGAGATACAAAGTAACATTGTTTATAAACATCGATCAGACGGGAGATAGAGATACAAAGTAACATTGTTTATAAACATCGATCAGACGGGAGATAGAGAGATACAAAGTAACATTGTTTATAAACATCGATCAGACGGGAGATAGAGAGATACAAAGTAACATTGTTTATAAACATCGATCAGACGGGAGATAGAGAGATACAAAGTAACATTGTTTATAAACATCGATCAGACGGGAGATAGAGAGATACAAAGTAACATTGTTTATAAACATCGATCAGACGGGAGATAGAGAGATACAAAGTAACATTGTTTATAAACATCGATCAGACGGGGGATGGAGAGATACAAAGTAACATTGTTTATAAACATCGATCAGATGGGAGATGGAGAGATACAAAGTAACATTGTTTATAAACATCGATCAGACGGGAGATGGAGAGATACAAAGTAACATTGTTTATAAACATCGATCAGACGGGAGATAGAGATACAAAGTAACATTGTTTATAAACATCGATCAGACGGGAGATAGAGATACAAAGTAACATTGTTTATAAACATCGATCAGACGGGAGATAGAGAGATACAAAGTAACATTGTTTATAAACATCGATCAGACGGGAGATAGAGATACAAAGTAACATTGTTTATAAACATCGATCAGACGGGAGATAGAGATACAAAGTAACATTGTTTATAAACATCGATCAGACGGGAGATAGAGATACAAAGTAACATTGTTTATAAACATCGATCAGACGGGAGATAGAGATACAAAGTAACATTGTTTATAAACATCGATCAGACGGGAGATAGAGATACAAAGTAACATTGTTTATAAACATCGATCAGACGGGAGATAGAGAGATACAAAGTAACATTGTTTATAAACATCGATCAGACGGGAGATAGAGATACAAAGTAACATTGTTTATAAACATCGATCAGACGGGAGATAGAGAGATACAAAGTAACATTGTTTATAAACATCGATCAGACGAGAGATAGAGAGATACAAAGTAACATTGTTTATAAACATCGATCAGACGAGAGATAGAGAGATACAAAGTAACATTGTTTATAAACATCGATCAGACGGGAGATAGAGATACAAAGTAACATTGTTTATAAACATCGATCAGACGGGAGATAGAGATACAAAGTAACATTGTTTATAAACATCGATCAGACGGGAGATGGAGAGATACAAAGTAACATTGTTTATAAACATCGATCAGACGGGAGATAGAGATACAAAGTAACATTGTTTATAAACATCGATCAGACGGGAGATAGAGATACAAAGTAACATTGTTTATAAACATCGATCAGACGGGAGATAGAGATACAAAGTAACATTGTTTATAAACATCGATCAGACGGGAGATAGAGAGATACAAAGTAACACTGTTTATAAACATCGATCAGACGGGAGATAGAGAGATACAAAGTAACATTGTTTATAAACATCGATCAGACGGGAGATGGAGAGATACAAAGTAACATTGTTTATAAACATCGATCAGACGGGGGATAGAGAGATACAAAGTAACATTGTTTATAAACATCGATCAGACGGGGGATGGAGAGATACAAAGTAACATTGTTTATAAACATCGATCAGATGGGAGGTAGAGAGATACAAAGTAACATCGTTTATAAACATCGATCAGACGGGAGATAGAGAGATACAAAGTAACATTGTTTATAAACATCGATCAGACGGGAGATAGAGAGATACAAAGTAACATTGTTTATAAACATCGATCAGACGGGAGATAGAGAGATACAAAGTAACATTGTTTATAAACATCGATCAGATGGGAGATAGAGAGATACAAAGTAACATTGTTTATAAACATCGATCAGACGGGAGATAGAGATACAAAGTAACATTGTTTATAAACATTGATCAGACGGGAGATAGAGATACAAAGTAACATTGTTTATAAACATTGATCAGACGGGAGATAGAGAGATACAAAGTAACATTGTTTATAAACATCGATCAGATGGGAGATAGAGAGATACAAAGTAACATTGTTTATAAACATCGATCAGACGGGGGAGATAGAGAGATACAAAGTAACATTGTTTATAAACATCGATCAGACGGGAGATATAGATACAAAGTAACATTGTTTATAAACATTGATCAGACGGGGGATGGAGAGATACAAAGTAACATTGTTTATAAACATCGATCAGATGGGAGATAGAGAGATACAAAGTAACATTGTTTATAAACATCGATCAGATGGGAGATAGAGAGATACAAAGTAACATTGTTTATAAACATTGATCAGACGGGGGATGGAGAGATACAAAGTAACATTGTTTATAAACATCGATCAGATGGGAGATAGAGAGATACAAAGTAACATTGTTTATAAACATCGATCAGACGGGAGATAGAGATACAAAGTAACATTGTTTATAAACATCGATCAGACGGGAGATAGAGATACAAAGTAACATTGTTTATAAACATCGATCAGACGGGAGATAGAGATACAAAGTAACATTGTTTATAAACATCGATCAGACGGGAGATAGAGAGATACAAAGTAACATTGTTTATAAACATCGATCAGACGGGAGATAGAGATACAAAGTAACATTGTTTATAAACATCGATCAGACGGGAGATAGAGAGATACAAAGTAACATTGTTTATAAACATCGATCAGACAGGAGATGGAGAGATACAAAGTAACATTGTTTATAAACATCGATCAGATGGGAGATGGAGAGATACAAAGTAACATTGTTTATAAACATCGATCAGACGGGAGATGGAGAGATACAAAGTAACATTGTTTATAAACATCGATCAGACGGGAGATAGAGATACAAAGTAACATTGTTTATAACATTGAGAACATTAAGTATAGACAAAGGTGATTTTTTTTTTTTTTTTTTTTGCTTCTATGGATTGCAAACAAAATAAAATAATTTTCACAACACAATAAGAAACATAAAATAAAATGAAGAAGGTATTTCTTTGTTATCTGTCCAGTAATGAATTGTTGTATAGCAGGGCCATAGCAGAAATGTAACGCTTGCTCCGCTCCATAGGGGGCGCACAGGAGCTGAACAGGTTAATCTCCCGTCGGGGCCCTTTTATCGCCACGTGCTCCAGAACCTCCCGCCTTCTCGTTTCTCCATCAAACAAGTCGGGTTACAACAACAGACATTCTTTTGGCAGGATTGAGAGGCGAAGAGAGCGGTGGGGAGTCCAGGAGGGGACCTGTATATATATATATATATATAGCGCGTTCATTTCCCCCTTTGAAGTGGACGGGATTGGTTATTCGGCCACTTTGATATGTAAAGAGGCAGATTGTGTTCCTGCGAGGGACGCGGGAGTCCGGCCAACAATCACAGGCAATGCTCCTCGCAGGGGAAGAAGTGATCCCGCCGGCGCTGGGCCCCGAATTGGGTTGGAAAAGCCAAGTTTCGCTTCTTTTGGGAAGTTTCAAACAAACAAAAAAACCTTTTTCTCACCCGTCCTCCATCCAACGTCAATGTTTTCGTGTTTATCCTCCTCGTCATCCTGGTTGGTCATCAGATTGGGTTACAGGCGATTCGCTGTTCCCAACGCTTTCCCGTACTGGACGCGGCGGGTCCAGCCTGAGGTGCGTCCATCACAGAGGAGCAACACAGATGTTTGGAGAGAATTTCCATAAATGGCCGCTGGCCGCATGGCATGGTCACCGCCGCTCTGATCCGGGAGACGCGACCGCCGGGGTTGACGGGCGAGACGGTCTTGTTTTGTTTGGGAGATGATTTGTGTTTTTCATACCATCCGGGAACAAGGCGGAGCTTGGGAACAAGGCGGAGCTTTCTCTACATTTCTATCAGACATTCAAAAGGGGAAATTTGTCAACAGCCGGGGAGGATTCTACTCTCACCTGTAATGTCTGCCGTAAGCAGCTCTATATTCATTATCATGACATCCAGCTCCTCCCTTCAGTCTTACACAGGTGTACCGGCTCCTCCCCTTCAGTCTTGCACAGGTGTGCCGACTCCTCCCCTCCAGTCTTGTACAGGTGTACCGACTCCTCCCCTTTCATCTTGCACAGGTGTACCGGCTCCTCCCCTCTAGTCTTGCACAGGTGTACCCAGGGGCGGACTGACAACTTATGGGGCCCCCGGGCAATAGGGGATCATGGGGCCCCTGTGTTTTGGCCTACACCCAAAAATGCTTATACAAAGCCAATGAAAGGTACCAGGGGCATCTCATGGGGCCCCCTACTGACCCCGGGCCCTGGGGCAGTGCCCGAGTGCTTAAATGGTCAGTCCGCCCCTGGGTGTACCCGCTCCTCCCCTTCATTCTTGCACAGGTGTACTGGCTCCTCCCCTCTAGTCTTGCACAGGTGTACTGGCTCCTCCCCTCCAGTCTTGCAGAGGTGTACCGGCTCCTCCCCTCTAGTCTTGCACATGTGTACCGGCTCCTCCCCTTCATTCTGGCATAGGTGTACTGGCTCCTCCCCTCTAGTCTTGCACAGGTGTACCGGATCCTCCCCTTCATTCTTGCACAGGTGTACTGGCTCCTCCCCTCTAGTCTTGCACAGGAGTACCGGCTCCTCCCCTCCAGTCTTGCACAGGTGTACTGGCTCCTCCTTTCCAGTCTTGCACAGGTGTACTGGCTCCTCCCCTTCAGTCTTGTACAGGTGTACCGGCTCCTCCCCTCCAGTCTTGCACAGGTGTACCGGATCCTCCCCTTCATTCTTGCACAGGTGTACTGGCTCCTCCCCTTCAGTCTTGCACAGGAGTACCGGCTCCTCCCCTCCAGTCTTGCACAGGTGTACTGGCTCCTCCCCTCCAGTCTTGCACAGGTGTACTGGCTCCTCCCCTCCAGTCTTGCACAGGTGTACTGGCTCCTCCCCTTCAGTCTTGTACAGGTGTACCGGCCCCTCCCCTCCAGTCTTGCACAGGTGTACCGGCTCCTCGTGTGGCATCGCTCCAAGCTGGACAGTGAGACAAGAATCACCCCTCCAGCAATGACAGGGAGGAGGCATCCCAGAGCAGTTCCAGTGTAGCTGACGAGAAGAGAAGGTGGAGATCTCAACCAACCCCAGGAGTCAGATGCAGCCACCCCTCCAGCCACGCCCTGTGACCTCATTTGCTCCACCCACTGGGGGACATGGCTGGAGCCATATATATATATAGATTGATTGAAATATATTGATTACGTCCAAAATTGCAGTTTTTCAAACATATGTCAATATATGTGGGAAGGATATTTTCCTTCTATGTGGCTAACACAATGCACCGATGTGAAGAACTAGTTTCCATGTGCTCTTAGCACGTCGTAATCCTACATTTTTTGGAATGCATTTAATAATACATATATATATATAAATATATGTTAAAATAACTTTTTTAAAAGTTAAAAAAAATCTGAAGAATATATTTGAAAAAAATATTATAATAATATTTTATTTTAAAAAAAATATTATATTATATTTTGTATATATAAAAAAACGCATTTCAACATACAGTATATATATATATATATATATAAAATATATTTTAAAATATATTGAATACGGCCAAATCTGTAGTTTTTCAAATATATGTTAATATATTTGGGAAGAATATTTTTAAAATTTATTTAAAATATATTTTTCTTCCATGTGGGCGTCACCAATGTGAATACTTCTTAGAGTAGAACAAGAACTAGTTTCCATGGGCTTTCAGCACGTCATGATCCTGCGTCGTAGCACACGTAAAATGTGATGGCGTGAGCGGGCCCTCAGCTGTGAATGGGCCCCAGTCACATGCAAGATCCCCAGGCAGGGCCGTGCATAAGGGGGTACCACCAGTTCTCCTGTACGGGGCCCAGGCCAGAAGGGGGCCCAGGCAGCTGGGTCAAATCAGATGTGGGCAGGAAGCAGTGACTGGCACCGCAGGGGGGCTTTCAGAGCCATACAGGGGATCGGTTCCAGTAATTCCCCACCCCCCCGTGCACCCATCATCACCCTCCCTGTGCATTAATATTTCCCCTGCAGCCCAGGGCCCCCTGTGTGCCCCCCTGTGTGCCCCCACCCCAACAGAGCTACCGACTCTCCCTCTGTTGTCCCCACCGGCAGCCCCAAGCACTCATAGGATCCTTCAGAATGTAGAGCGGGAGAAGGTTCCGATCAGGGGCGGAAAGACCATTTGGAAACTCGGGCACTGCCAGAGGGCCCGTGGTCAGTAGGGGGCCCCATGAGATGCCCCTGGTACCTTTTTCATAGGCTTTTTTGAGTTTTGGGCAAGGACACAGGGGCCCCCATGATCCTCTATTGCCCGGGGGCCCCATGAGTTGTCAGTCCGCCAATGGTTCCGATAAATATACACATGTTCCAGCCCGAATGAACACAATGGGTGATTGGGACCGATCACTCACGGTGCCCATTCATAAATGAAGCATAGTAAACTGTGTTCTTTTCTTTTGGAGGGGGCTGTCAGGTTGGCTGTATGGGGCCCTGTGGTCTAACAGCAGTCCTGACCCCAGCCAGGGAGG